CTTCTCTCCTCGAGCGATCCGACCGACATGTTCAATCTCACTCGACGCCCCGGCAAGCTGGAGAGGCTGCGGTCTGCCCTGATTTGCCCTAAAAGTTATTATCGCCTCTCGTCATATCGGCGTGTACAGCGTGAGATTTACACTTGGAGGGCGGTTATATTCAATGTCGAGAATCCCAAAGGGAGAGAAAGAGAGAGGGAGAGAGTGGAGAGTCCAAGGTCTGGCTCGCTGGCGAGCCACCCCCCGCTCATCCAGTTTTCGAGGGTGGCAGCCCCGATCCCTCTTCGCCCGAAACAAAACATATTGTCCGAATTTAATTGTGGATGGGGTGCATTAGATATTCATACGTTACATGTTCCACGACGCGTACAACAATATCGACGTGCACCCCGTGTGGCCGTGCACCAGGGAGTCAGCACGTGCGCTCGCCGTCGAGGGGGAAATAAATCTTCCGAGCGATAAACACTGCGACCGCTTCTCGCGTAATCATCAAAGAGAAGTTTAGTGTTGTTCGTTACTGTCGTTTTAGTGCTTTTTGCTAAATCTTCGACACATTTACTGTCCATGTTACTCATATACAGGGTGGGCCGGAAATCGTGGTACAACCGGGCAGGGGGTGATTCTACGTTAAAGAAGAAGAAAATATTTTGGTATAATATTTTTTTATCCTGGGCTCCGTTTTCGAGAAACTCGACTTTAATGTTTGTTCAACTTGTAAACGATTTAGTACAATTTGGTTGTCTTCAAGGGATGCATATTTTGTAGAATATTCATTTCCATAAATTCCTCAGTATAGATACGAATTTTCAGAATAATCTACAGAATTTTCATTGACGAGTATCTCTAAATAAAATGTCAATTATTCAAACTCTAAATAATCCATGAAAGCAGAAATAATTTAAGAATGGTCCACGCCATCTGTTCATACATCTATCTAGTATTCTCCTGCAAGCAACGAATATCTAATAATGTAAATATGTTCAACATCCCCAAAGCAATCATTCCCCTGGAGCAATTCAATGACCGTCGCGAACGTCGCTCCTAACACTGTCGGGCGACAATTTTCCCCGAGAATTACACGTCAAATTGTGCATATGAATTTTTTTTTATATGGTACACGTTGCACAAAGAACGACGAACAAGCGTTATATTGGCTAACTCGGTGCGTCGCGGAACCGCAAATCATCGCGTTTAACGCGTCAGCATCCGTCGCCCGACGATTCTCTCGAAATAAAACCGTCCTCAAGATGACCGTGCAAATCACGTGATTTTCAACGGGACAGTCCGATCGAACCAACGGAACGTTGATCGGACTCGCGGGATATTATCAGATTAACGACGTGCAAGGGGTGTACCCGAAACACAGGTCAACCCCCGTTTTCGACGACCGGCGGCCCTTCATTGCCACTTGAGAATAAACAAGAGGGAATCGATGGACCACGGTGAGGGTGGAATCGAGTGTCCATAGAGAAAACGGGACGGTCTATAAATTCTTTTGTAATCGACGCCACTTCGCGACACCGCTGGAACCTTTTCATTGATACGTGGAAACGGTGAAATCGCTTTCATCGCGGTCTCGCTGTGACGGGCGCTGGTCATTTAACACTTGTAATTGGCGAAAAGGGCAATATTTCTGCCAAAAGCAATATTTTCTGTAGTAATGTGAGTACAGTAAGAATTGGACCGACAAATTACGTAAGTTCATAAAGGGAATTCTGAAGTGTAAGATTCAGGGTTTTCGTGATACTTTTTATAGTATTTTAACCCTTTATATCCGGACAGTATTTTGTAGTGTACGACTTATATTACAATAAAACTCTGCCTAGAACCAATACGCTTAAAACGTGGATAAGGCTTATATAAGTATAGACTACTCTCGACTATTGTCTGGTTTGTTCTACACGATTATTGTCCAGGCGTTATCCCCACCACTCGGGGCAGGGGGGCGTGGAACCTGTCAAGTGCATACTTTGTTGCCGAGGCTCGGGCTTCGGGCAAAAAACGACTTTACGAGGGTCTGAAGCATTTCTCCCTATTTGATTATTGTCCCGGTGCGGACCCGAGTTTGGGACGAGTGGAGTCTGTATTTACTACTTCTTTGAAGTCCTCTGAAACAATACAAGAAATAAAGAAACTATATTTGAACTGTTTTCAAGTACATATGGAATAAAAATTGCGGTATAAAATTAACGGTAACATATATCAGGCCTTAAAAGGTAAAAGTCACATAAAATAACAGTAAACTCATAAAAAAAGGAGAGATAACTATAAAATCTGGTCATTTCCCGTTTACAGTCTTGAATCTCTTACTCCAAAAACAATTTCACGAAAACCTAGCGAATCTAGAGACCACATAACAGTAATTAGGTCCTAACTGCAAAGGGGTGTATAGGGTGGTGAAAATTGATTTTCATCCCCAGTTGGCCATTTAAAGAAGCAACACGCCACAAACCACCATTTCATAGAGCAGTGGGCCTTGTTATAGACGAGGCAACAACGTTTTCCTCGCGTTGGAAGTGATCGAAACAACCGATTTAAGACACCAGTGGCGGTCTCTGTGGCTAAAGGTGGAGTCGTCGAGGTCGGAAAGGGTTTTGGGAGAGGGGGTGTTACGGTGAATGGTATCGGAGAGAGAAGTCACTTTCTTATTTCCATTCTTGGCAGCGTTCTTTCGAATCCGACTCGGCAATAGAACCGACTCCGTCGTCCACCATCTCGCTGCGTGTCCCACCTTCTTCCGCGGCGCGTCCCCACCACGCATGGGCTGGAACAGTTGGTATCCAGTGGTGGTGGCAATCGGCTCCGGAGGTAGCAGCTCTACCTGGCTCTAACTCGCCCACCCCCACGTTTCTCCTCTTTCTTTCGTTTGCTCGCTTGTTTCCTGACTCCTTCCAGGAGGCACGACCCACCCCCACCCACCCTTCTCACAGAGGACACACCGGTGTGCAGCGATGTGGTATTACGTAGACGACGCAAACAGGTCTCCATTATCGACGAGAAGCTGAAATTATCCCTGGGAAATTCTTTACTCTGGTTCTTTCTCACTGTTGTCCTTTTGTTCCTGTAGATTTTGGATATTTGATTTCGATTCTTTGAGAACAATTATACATTTTCATGGTTACTTCTAATCGACTTTGTGTTTAGAAGACTCCTCTCCACTGAACATTAAATACTTCATAAACTAATGGTCATATGCAGCAGAAACAAATATAGTTTGCTTCAAAATTCCAAGCTCTATCGCTGTGCTGAACCTTGGTAAAAAATCAGTGTTACATCTGGGAACCTCTCCTTGTTAATGCTGAAGAGCCTCCGAACATTCATCGAGGATTTACTGTCTATCCAAATTTGCTACAGGATAGTAAGTAGAGGAAAGGAGAGGTACTAAGACATAACCTTCTTGATAAGGTTTTCAGTACTCTGTTATCGTTCCAGGAATACATATAGAGTTCAATGTTTAGAACACAACTTTATATGCGTACAGGTGATTGAACGCGGTTTAGGCAGAAAGAAAGCACCTTCATTCGACAGAGAAATAACACTAGGTCTTAAATGAAATGAGGCGTGAAGAGTGATTCGTCGGCGAGATTATGGAAACATCAACACCTTGTCTTTCCTTCTTCGTGTAATCCGATACCCGCTACCATCTTCGGTAGCCGCAACAAGGGTATCAGGTTTCAGGATACTCGGAGCGTGTTCCGTGGATCCTACGTATCGATTTCAGAGATTGTGCGCCGGTCCGAAGTGTTAAATAGACACAAACAGATCGGTGATCGTTATGGAAGAAAGTAAAAGTATCGGATTTCCTCGTAGATTCTACCAAAAATTAGGAACACCTCTTGAGTCTTTGGTTTCAAAGTTAAATTGTCGACGCTTCTACAAATTAAATAATTTCCTCAGGCAGTAACATTTTTTATCTTTAGTTAAAATCGAGGATCATCGAGTACTGTTTTATGACGAACGAATCAGAAGTTGGAGCTGTAGATGATAAAACAATAAAAAATAAACATTCAGTTCCAATGCTTTCCAACAAAATTCCTATATTACAGGTGTAGGTAAAGGTGAGACAGTGTGAATCACAAATTGTATATTAATGATTATTTATTTAAAAAGCGTGTCCCATCTGTGTAGCATCCACTCGACGACTGACTTAACAAAGGGACGGTCATCGACGCAACAAAGAACGAATACGTCGATGACAACAAAACCGTTAACGGCCGTTTTCCGCGACAAAATATTGCATAGCGCACGGTTTCGTTAAAGAAGAAATATCATAACGCCTACACAGGTGCCATAAACATTTTTTTCTATTAGCATTGAAAGCCAAAATTTAAGAAAATCACAATCACTCCGAAACAAAAATTTCTTTAAATCGAAGGGAACCAACGACCGTGTTCGAATCACAGCAAGTGAGTCGCGAGTTCGCGGGAAAGAAACGGTGAGAAACAAGGAAAACGCGGAAGGGGGGTGGGGAGATGGATCTAGAGGGAAAAACTAGGGGCCAAGAGGGAGACGACGTGAGCCAAGTAGAGAGGGAAGAACACGGAAAACGCAGGTCGGCTCGTTATCGACATCCTCGAGCGTCCGTCCAATCCCGTCCGTCAGCGATACCGCGTTTACCTCTATGTCCCCGCCCACAGGCGGCTCCAATTGGTCCGCGCCTGCCTCTTCCCACTTGGTTCCCAATAGGTGGGGGGTGCACTCCAGCTGAAGGGCGCCCGTGGGTCGGCTCCGGGCGGCAGGTCGTGCGTGCACATTCCCAAAACTATCGTCCGCGAAGGCACATTGAACGTCGCGACGTCCGTGTTTTTCGTTCCTCGTGCGTTGGTCGTTTATCATAACGGGCGACGATTCTCTAGTTTGCCGTGCGAATTCACCATTATTCGTTCTCGTTGTTGACGATCGAACCGACGAGATGCTGCGTCGTACACACGGTTCCGAGCATCACGCGATCGCCGATTGATCAACGGTAAGCAGCAGTGTCTGGTTGGAACGCACAGTGAATCGAGAACTCGTGTGGATTGGTCCGATATGACAGTGCAGTGAGACCCGACGGTTGTTGTTGGTTCATCGTTTTTACACGTACACGACGAAACGCGCGACGGTTTCGTCGGGTGGAGGAGGCTTTTGGTAGCTTGATTATCGAGGACCCCAGGTGTGAGACCCAGAGTCTCAACCACGGCAGCAAAATTGAGCTGGACTTGCACCAACGGGCCGCCGGCCACTTTATGAGGTGAGTTCGAGAGGATAATGTTTATCGCGTGCAGTGGCCATGTAGGGTCTTTATAATGGTTGTTGATTGATGGACGGAGTGTGTGGTTGTACAATTTACTGTTCTTTGTTTTTGAGATCGGGATTGTTGACTGTCCAATTTGAAAAGGTTATTGAAGGGTCTTGTATAGTGTGGAGGGATGATTGGGGCTAAGAGTGTGCTGTGTTTACAGGACATGTCCTGAGAACTAGCAAATACCACTAATATTAAATAGATAAATAGATAATCGTTTCGAAAATAAAGTCAAGGGCTCGCTTTAATGTTGTGTTTGGATACCTTGAAGAGATCTGGAAATATGTGGAACCCGGTTTTGATTATGTATCGAGTGATTGTATGTTAAATTGCTGAGAAAAGAACGTTTAACAGAGGGTATTGTTTCGTAGGCAGAGATATTTATACCTTGATGTTAGAGATAAATTTAACTTGGAGTAGCCATGGGTAGACAATTGTAGTTCATTTGTACATACAATTGAGACAAACAAAATAATTAAGTATATAATAGCCAATAAAGCAATATAGGCATTATTTAAAAAGTTGATAATGATCAGTGTTAATTACTTATTGTAAAAAAACCTTAAGGAAGGTAATTAATTTATTAAAAGTAAGTCCAAATTAGTAATAATATTTATGTGTAGAATATTGCTGCATTGGTATAAATTAGACGTAGGATTGATTCCAAAATTGGTTCCAAAAATGTTAGATAATCTATGGTTCCGTTAACATCGCAATTTTCAAGTGAATTTTCGACAACGTTTACGGTTCCATTACTCGAAAGATTGACTCCGTATAGAATATCAGCGACTGAATTCGCACTCGAGTTTATAAACATGATTGCTGAAGTGTTTATCAACACCGACGGTGACCCAGTTGCTAGGAACGGTCCTCAATACATGGATATGTTTCCTTATCACCGTTTACGGAAAACAAAATTCAAAATATACGTGAAAATCAGTGAACTAATATGAAATTAAATTTAAAATACTATTACGTATTTTCTAATACATTTTTGCATAAATACATAATAATTTGCCAGAGCCATTTTAGAGTTAATATTATGTTACAGTTATTTACTTTATGTTGTAACCATAAAAGGCAAACGGTACTTTTCAATCTGCAGGTGGCACCTTTCAAAATTAACCTGTATATCGTAATTACACTACCTGCAGACACAAAAGAATAGCAAACTGCCGTCCTAAGTAAGCAAACAGGATATTAAGGATTATAGAAAGTGATACTCTTGAGAATAAGAGTTGCTAAATGTCCCTTTTACTATTTATTGCGGTGCTAAACCGGGTTTCCCTTCTATTGTCTAAGTGTTTCGATGTCTTTATATATTAGTTGCTTGACTTCTCACACTCAAATGTATCCGATTTAAAAATTAATTTCTTTTTACGAGGTCCAAAATATTCCTTAACATCTTGTTGAAATTGTCACTTCATTCGTTTAATGTAATCAATTTTTAACAGTTACAAAAATTAGGAATGTATTTTTTATCTTCGTATTTATGCACATAAATCCTGTAAACTAAGAATTTTTCAGAAAACTAAGTAACGTAATTCTTATATTTTTAATGTAACGAAATTCATATTTACTATCAGAAGTGCAGTTCTATTTACTACTTATGCTTAAAGAATATTTTACAAAATGTTTAACCCATTCATGATACTATTTTTCACCGATTCCTTAAAATTTATCTAGTATTCTCATCGAACTCTCTCTGTTATAGAAATTACAAACGCACAATTGACATCCTTCTGTCAATTCCTTAAACATGCTATTTAAAGATCGAATCATCGTTACAAATTGCAATCATCACAACCATCCAAATTTTTCTCGAAAAATTGATTTCTCCTCATCAAGCCCAATTAATATCTTAACCTTCTGAATTACAATCTCTGCCAAATATTTATACTTCAAACTACATGGGTGCTTTACAAAAGCCTGCCGAGTTCCCCCATTAATGAACCTAAACCACCAAAAGGAGAATTAACACTGTATCCACCAGTGAAACTCCCTTTCTCTTCATCGCATCTAATTAATTTCCTAATTCCCCAAAATACACCTCCATTTCCACCTCACACAAGAACCATATCAAACTTTTCCTTCGCATGCAAAGAGGAAGAATTCATTAATACTTTCCAATCAATCTCATACAGCACAATTCATCCCCGTGTCACCACACGCATCACCGCCCCTGAAATCGCTCAGAAACCATTCTCGAGTACCTTTAAAAATCCTTGGAAACCCGTCGTCGATATACAACTACTGACCGTCGCAAATAGAGATTCCCTCGTGGAGAGCAATAAATTGCTGCGTGCAGGCTCGTGGGTCGTTCGAGACCGGGACCTAAACATTCAATTAGCACTTCCTAATCCCCCGTCGCTCGTTGTCAACAGCCATTACTTCCAGCATCTTCTCTCTCTCCCCGCGGAGCCACCCCCTGCGAGAGCACCCTTAGCCTCTCTATCTCTCTCTTCAGCAAGCAACTTCCAGGGCTGGTTTCCAACTTCCCCCTTTCTCCCTATCGCGCCCCCATACGACCTCTCGCTAACCAACGTATCTATTAATCCGGGTCTGAATGACACTCGAGGGTGGCCCCGGGTCGGAGGGTGGGCTTCCTAACCCTACAAAATCGTAACTACCGCCCCCGGGTTAACTCCCTCAACCACTACAGGTTTTTTTTTTCTTCTCTTCTTTCTTAATGAACGCTCAAGGAGATCCGCGTGTAATTGTATTAGTTCGAGAGCAGGGAGGGAGAATGAGATGGAGAGATCGTAGGAGATGAAGGAGGAAAAGGAACACACTAGGGGTTTTAGAGGGGTGAAATCTCTGAGAAGGAGGGTGACATTTAGGGTAAAAAGACGGAGAAGAGAGAGAGAGAGAGAGGCACAACGCGCGGCGAGATTGGTTAATGGCTTTGATACTGGGAAAGGATAAGATTAATTTGCTTGTGAATCAAAGAGGAAACGAATAAGCAATTACTCGGGACCGTGAGGAGAGTGGCGCTGGCACGAGTGCCCTCGCTCGGTTCTTCGGCGTGTCGGATATGGCGCACAATTAAAGGCTCCAATAGGCCTGGAATGCGTGGGTTTTTGTGGAAATCACGATGACAGGGTGAAATTTGGTCTGCGGTGATGCGTTTCGATGGGGGTGTAAGTGGTTTTCTTTTGGATGGGGTGTTTAGTTGTAAAGTAACTTGTTTTCGTGGGAGTTTTGTTATACAGGGTGTAACAAAAGTGTTGTAGGTCCCTGAAATGGGTCACTTGTGAGGTGATATGGAACAAGTTTTTCCTTAGCAAGAATGTTAGCCGAGGCTTTGTTAACGAGATATTAACGAAAAACTTCGACCAATCAGAGCGCGAGTCTGCAGGCCGAGCTCTAATTTATCGAGGTTTTTCGTGTGGACTGGATAATTGCAAAGGGATGGTTCATCTTTTATTTGCAGAATGCTTGTTATGTGTATTAAATACCTGGAATAATTACTATAATCGAGTCGAAGGATTTATCCGCAAAACGAGGAATTAAGGGGAATATTTCACGGTTAATTTGTGTAGCGCGTGGAGCATTACGATATTGGATTTTCTGCTGAAAGATAAAATCATTTCAGTTGATGACCGTGTAGCTACAAGTTAATGAAAAATTACGTGTTTACCGAAGAGTTAATTTAATTTAGATAAACTTGAGTGAATTCGTGCAGCCTGGTAGGTTGCACTTCCGTTATCTTCGATAATTGTTAAAGGAGAATATTGAAGGAAGTCAGCTTTACAAATTTTACATTAAAAAAATGCCGTTACACTTATTTTACATCTCATTAAATATTTACATATATGCACGTTTTTTCAGTCTACACGATTCATTATGTTTTATTGCCGAAACAACCCTTCCATTGTATTTTCTATTAATCACAGTAAATCACGAATTAATTAATTATTAAAAAAGTCTCTACGAAATTTCCATGGTATTCTGGTTTTTAATTTCCTTAATTAATATAATCAAAATATATCGTAATCGATCATCAAACCTTTCAAAAAAGTTGCTAATCTAGAAGGATCTATCATACCTCGAACTACAATACAACATCTTTTATTATTAAGTCTTCCACACACAACGTTAATGCAAAAGCTTCATTATAACAACAATATTTACGATCTCGTTACAAACAACCCAAAAGAAACGCACTTATTACTCATCGGTAGACTGCAGGTGTTCATGCAAATATCAAATTCTATCGATTAATTGATCAAAAGTCACGCAAAGAAAAGTTAACCCTGTTAAAAGATACTCATAGGTTCAAAATAAAAAGTTTCTATTGCATAAATTCAACTCCAAACTATCGCACAAATGCATGAAAATCCGCAGCCTCCTAATCAGGATCCATCAACAACACCGGTCCCAAATCCCCCAAGACTCCCCCCTGTCATTAAAACCCACACTCCGTCCAATTCACCTCTAGCCTATCAACAAGATCAGTTACGCCTAATTCCAACACCCACCCCCATCACCAAGACAATCTCAATCTTCATCCCATCAGCGATCTCCAATGTCTATCTATCAGTACATCCAAACTCCGTTCAGAGACTAAATATCCAAGATAACGTCGACAAGATCGTAAATCAGAAGGGGACGAACGTTTATCTCCGACGATGTACTGTCGGTTCGTCGGACCCAGTGTCGAAACAATGGACACTCCATGATGCCCTCTGGGCATCCTTCCTCTCTCCTCTTCACTCCTCTCCACGGTCACTCGGACTCGAGGTCGTCGGTGACTGTTTTCACGTAGGCGTGTCCCATTAACGTGCCCGTTGGGGTTACTAATTGGTGGCTGCGTTTAATTACAGAGCCGGCGGCAACATGTGCGACGGCTCCTTCACGGAGACCCTGCGCGGTATGCAGGGCATGTCGGGCACGTCGCCGCCCGGTGGCGCGGGTGTCGGCCCCATGGGGGTTGGCCTCGGCAGCCCTCTCGGCCCAACCGCGAAGAAGACGCAGGTGGAGCACATCAAGAGGCCGATGAACGCGTTCATGGTCTGGTCCCGGCTACAGCGACGGAAGATCGCCCAGGAAAACCCGAAGATGCACAACAGCGAGATCTCCAAGAGGCTAGGTGAGAATCACATTTTTTATCATTTTCCCTAGGAGCACAAAAATATTGAAAAAATATTTTTTCAGCCACACTTTTTAATATGAAATAAATATTCGATGATCCAAATATTGTATATATGTACAGGAAATATACAGTACATGTTTACAATATTAAATACATATTTATTTTATATTGGGGAAAAAATATTTTTTTCGTAATATGAAATAAACATTGTATGTATATTTAAATATTAAAAAGAGATTGAATCTCTTTTTAATATTGGATGAATATGTACTCAATATTTTGTGCTACTAGGATTGTTACTATGTTGGATTCCGGGTTGTGGAATTGAGTGCAATACTTAATAAAAGAATCTTGAAGAGGTTTATTCCACCACGCGTAACAGAGGTGTAAGAATTTAAGTTATACGTTTCGGAGTTCTCAAGTCTCCGTCGGAACCAGAATTGCACCCTGTGTCTTTTCGGAAAGCTTATAAATAATAGTATTAGCATTTTGCATAAAAATCCGCAGTCTACTTATCACGATCCTTGCGACCGGGGCCTAATCTTCGATACGGCGGCTATAAATTTGTTCGTTCCTAGTGGAACGAATGTAAGTTATGTTATCAACCTGGACATCGATGTGCATATCTTTATGCTGATTTAGATCCTTCTGAATTGTTTCGTGGAAATTCCGGTTTGATCCATTAATCAATGACGTGATTATAACCGAAGCGTTTGATATTATTAACTGCATACCGGTGTCGAACGTGAATTCGAATTTTTCAACCGGGAACCCATCGATATCCAATAGGAGACGAAGACAACATTGTATTCTAGGGAAGCAACAAAAGCTTCGGCGACATGCATCATAAATCACACTTCGCAACGTACAAAAGGCTATTCAGTTCAAAAATATCTGTGTCACCATTACGGTAACAATTCATCGCTAAAAAAAGCAGCATCACCGTTGCTCTTCATCCCCCGAAAGCAATCACCGAGTACTGTCGCGTTCGCTAAACGGAACGGCGCGCAGTGGTTCAGAACGTTGTTCTAGGAGTTCAGAAGTTTAATTTCAGGTACTTGAATTTTATTCCAAATAAATCTCATTGTCTTTATCAAGTCCAATTTTCTCCTTGTCGGAACATTTGCATAATTTGTTTGCAGAACTTTTGCACGTGAATTCCAATAATGAAATGATTTTTCATCGGTGCCAATCAATTTGAATTATCAATTTTTGAACATTAACCTCGAATAGTGTGAATTGGGATTTTGGATTTTTCATTATTATGAACTTGATAAGAATAAAACCAAATTAAACTCGTGACACATTTTTTGGAATGAAATTTCCTTAAAAATTCAATGGTAAAAATTGCAAAAGTGAGAAATAACTTCTCAACCATAAAATTTCGAATTAATTAAAACGATGTCCAAAATGGTGTCCATCAGCTGCGACACACTCGCGTAAATGGCTAAGAAACGACTGCTTCGTTCTATTTATGACGTCTGCACCGATGATTAAGCATGCCAAAAAAATTTCAATCGAACAGCCAGCAGTAAAACAATCTAATAAGCTTATGTTCCATGGTCCGCCCTGTGTAGTACAATTTGTACTCTTAGAACATTGTTCTACCTCACGAAAAATCCCCCCAGAAACCGTTGTTCGAAGCTTGTCCGTCGAAACAACGAGTGGCTGAAAAAAGAATAAAAAGGGGAAGGTATGCGTGCGCCGGAAACAGAGCGTTAATCCCTTTTATCGTGATTCAAACGCCCGAATTTCGTTTCGAACTGCGTCCACGTTTCTCCCCGCGATTCCACCCCCTTTAAAAAATTCTTCGATTTACGCGTCGTCGACGGTTCGTCGCGCGCTCGAATTATTCGTTGCCAGCGACACAGACTACAGGCAGGGTTGGTGGTACACGTCGACGGGAAAAGAAAGAGGAAGATAAAGACGAACCAGAGGGAGTGGGGACGAAGGTATTCCGGTTGGTATTTCCGTTAAATACCCGGGAATCGACAAAGCCCGGTTTCCCGCGGGCCTCCCCCTCCTTTGGAAGCTTCTTTATCCGTCATTTTCTTCCTCGCCTCGGTTCTTCTACCCCCATTTTTCGTTCCCTCGGCGACGACGAATAAGGGAAGTGCCCGTTCCTCGGCAAAAATGATGCGCGCACGCTCGAACCCACCTCCCACCGTCGCGGGATTCCACCCTCGCTCTCTCTCTCTCTCTTCACTCTGTTCGCTTCCCTTCGACCCTCCTCCGATCCTCCCCCTCCAACCCCCTTTTCTCTTCTCCAGCTTGCACCCTTTGTCGAAGCGACACTTTTTCGTCGCTCTTTTACCGCCATATCCCTGGCACTGCGTACATTTTTTCCTGATATACAACCCCCACCCTCTACAACCACCACCTCCCCCTCTTCCCTCGCGATCTCCGTCCCTCTCTCTTTCCATCGTGGACGGCTTGTCGGAGCATTTGCAAATTTCATCCTGCAAATCCTTCTCCCAACCCCCACCACCCCCCTGTTACCGTCTTCCAACCGTGCTTCCGCGACCCACCCCGCGACAGCACCCTTGCTCGTTCCTTTTCCACGAGGTCCTCCCTCCACCCTACCCCCTCTGGACGACAAAAGATTCGAGGAACCGATGTACTCTCTGCCCGAGCACTCTCGACTCGCTCGCTGGAATCTCGCGCGGAATGCCGCGACGCGGCTGTTCCTTCGACTTTCTTCGGCGAGCCTTCCTTGCCCGCGGTTTCCGGGGAAAATGTTAACTCGTCAGACGGGTTCCGGTCAGGGGTGGAGCGCGGAGGGTGTGATATATTGTCGTGCAAATGGGACAGTTTAGTGGGAGAAATATGGTTTATGGAATTGTAGCTTCGTTGTTCTTTGGGGTGAAGGTTCTTTTTTTTATTAAGATTTTAGGTGGATGTACACGAGGGTTGTTTAAGGGTGAATGGGTCGGGGTATTTGTTCTGTATGCCGTGTGTATACTAGAGTATGGATACTACAGGTTTCTGTGTCTGCATTGTTGAAATATAATTTTTGTAATTTTTTTTAACGCTCGACACCGTGACGACCGATAACGCCACATGAAGAATTGAAATACAGTTTTTTTTTGTCAGGTTTGTATTGCTTGACACTGAGATGATCGATGAGCCCACACGAAGAATTGAAATACCGTTTTTATAGTTTCTGTACTACTTGACACTGTGATGAATAATGACGTGTGGTATCAGTCTTGTAAATGTCAATTGTAGTGGCCCGTAACGAGTCGTGTGAACGTCAAACTGTAACTTTTCAGTTATTCAAAGTTATTGAATTTTTTTTACGTACATAGCAAAAAACATGTTCTGTTAATTCTTCACACAAACAGCGACGGGTATTCGTATGTAAAACTAACCAGTTGTCATAGTGTTAATAAGGGATGGACCGTAAGTCGATAAGTGAACAGGTTTTCGAACTCAGAATCGATACATTCTATTAAACGTTCATAATGTTAATTTTTTTCTCAAGTTTGTGGAATACTTTTGATGATCCAGGTTGTTTTCTTTGAGCATTTGAATCGTTCAGTTATCGTATCGTTAGAGTACTTCAACACGGTTGCATACTATGTATACAGAAATCAATAAGAAATATATTTAGATGATCTTCTGGGGTAATCCGAATTTTTACTGCTAATCCAAATGCGTGTACAGTTTCACTTACGAGTAGTTACGCCAAGAACTCTGTACGAAGTAACTTACACTCAAGACCAACTATTTTGCCTTCTTATATCTACATAGTCCTGGAGCTATATGTATAGATATGAAACTTGTACAATTAGCATCAGAATTTGTATATTTTATATGTGTAGTATATATTAATACTTGTACAAATTTAACGAATTCATGTATGAATCGGGCTATATAGACCTGCGTTAGACATTTTTTTTTTCCGTACATTCTAGAGAGTATTTGCAACAGAAATCGTTTCCAGGAGCAATAAATTGTTCACTTTATAGCCGGCATGAAGTTTATGGAGTCCTAATAACAATAAAATTCTGCTGCAGAATCTTAGCGGGCAAGAAAACTGGCCAGCTTTCGCTCCAGGGTTGATATTTCCATTCGGAAATCGTTTCGAATCCAGCCTCGCGTTTCGTTTACTCAGACTTGACAAACATCAACTTTCAGTTGGTCGACTGTTCAGTTGGTCACGCGAACGCGTGAAAACTCGCGTGCGCTGGAATGACGGAAAAGTTTGCACTCTGTTGCAAACCCGTGAACGAGTGAACTACATAAACGGTACGCCAGCTAGAATTGCACTCGCCTACGCGTTAAATAATCGAGTAATTCGCGTATCTCGCTACTCGTGGCTTGCGTGTGTTCCTGTACTCGTCATTCATTGAACTAGAAAAGCTGTTCTTATATTTCAGCTGTTCTGAAATATTCAAGTTACTGGTGTCCCCCGAAATTTTTGCGTTTTATCGAGCTGTGTAGCTGCAAAAAATATATGGAATTCAAAACTGAAAGACACGCAGTGCAATTTTTAATGAATGTCTTAATTGGTAAAAAAAGTTCTTTGCTTATTTTGGCTATTGCAAAATAATGTATGATAATTAGAATTTGCATGAGCATTTACAATCCACAGATAATGAATTTTTTCGTCAAAGAAACAGAAGCTTGAAAATTCTAGATTTATCACAATACCATTTTTAAACCTCTGCTATTCCAATTTGGAATACAGATAATTAATTCCTCCTTCAAAGAAACAGAACGTTAAAAATTCTATATTTATCACAATACCTTTTTCAATCCTCTATTTCCAACTTGCACCAACCAAATTTGTTTTATTTACAATTTTCTTCGAAATACAGATAATTAATAGCTCCAAAGGAACGAAACTGAAAAAAATCTGATAGTCATCAGAATACCCATTTTAGATGTACCTACTGTAATTCTAATTTTCACCAACCAGATATCGTTTCTTTACAATCTTCCTACAAATATTAATTTTCATCTCTAGCCGAGAAGTTGCAATGACAATCCAA